CTCTAGGCCTCTAAGATGGGAAAATCATCATACACAACTGAGCAGCATCTGAATGCCAGGAGAGCTGATGGAAGGAAGTATCCATACCCTCTGGTCAACGCAATGGTGGGAGAGGGGAAGAAATTATGTATTCTGTGGGGAGGAAGGCAGAAGACTGGACTGGGAATACAGCTCAGTGGTAGAATGCTTGCCTAGCTAGCATGCACTGACTCTAAGCAAAGAAAAAGACAAAATATCAAGTCAAGGGCAAATGTTGGGGTTGGGGGTGAGGGGATATATTCATTTCTAATAGATAAAAATAAATAACAAGAGGAAAAAAAGACTAGGTCTTAACCTAGTTATTTTACAAAAATCTCAGCTATTCAGGCTACAGAACTTAAGACTATACATGTCCTCATTCCAGCACTTAGGATGCTCTTCTTAAAGAAAAGTAGGAAAGTAAAAGAAAAAGGAAAAAAATCCATTGAGATACAAGAAGTAAAGTATTAATATGCCAGAAACAAAGAGGTAACATTCTAAAGGTGGCTTTACCATAAATCGAATTTAAAAAAAAAAATGAAGTTGACAGAACATTAAGACTCTGAGGTAAGAGACTTTAGGTAATCTACTTCTCTTGTTTAATGCCCACATTACTGAATGCTTGATATCTCCCTTTCTACCAATGAAACATAATTACAAGAATATGCTAATAAATAAAAAAATCTTTTTACTTTTACCCCATGTGGGTAGAATTAAAATTTTACAAAGTCTGCTAATCAAACTCAAAAGCTCAATCCTCTGAAGAAAAACAAAAGGGGACAATTATCTGTTGAATGCCACACTACTGCACAGTTCTGCCCCACTCAGCTCAGGACAGCGACCATGCACGATGAAGTGGTTAACTGGCACCATGTCCTCCTGTGTGTATGGTAATGAGGCTTTAAGTATGTAAAGTTTTCAGGGCTTCCCTAGATCAAAGTAATTAGGCAAAAGGACAAGTGCAGTAGTTCAAGAAAATCCTTCTAGGACATTAGGCTAATAAAAGAGAAATCAGGAGGATCTCTGACATGCACACAGTTCTTTGGCTTCTATGTGTTCATTCTGGATAATGTGGTAATTGTGTTATTTCTCAGAAAATACAAGCTGGAAGACAAAAAGGATAATCTGGATGCATTTTTTGCTCTAGAAATCCTATTTCTTTCTTTCTCTCCCCTCCCCGGGTTTCTCTATGTAACAGCCTGTTGTGGGAACTGCTTCAGTCAATAGCCTTTAAGATACCGGCCCACTTTGGTGCAGATGAAAAGCAAGCGCAGCCCCTTTTTCTGCTGGATTTGGTTCCAGTTCCCAGAGCACGCAGAGGACTGCGGATTGCTGCCCTTACTGTGAGTTTATCCCCAGATAAACAAACCTTTGTTACACTCCATTCCAGGCTATTGTGGAACTCTTTGATACTACTACAATTTGCCCTGGCTGTTTTGGAACTCACAAAGATCTTCCTGTCTCTTCCTCCCAAGTGCTGGGAGTAAAGGTATGTGCCACCTCTGCCTAGCAGAAAACCCATTTCTTAAAAGAGGTGCTGAGGCCATAGTTAGGTAGCAGAATACTTGCCTAACACACACAAGGCTCTAAGTTCAATTCAACATTAGAGGGAAAAAATCCTATTTATGATACAATTTGGCCAAAACATGTTTCCCTTTCTTGCCCTTCCCTTTAAGAGGTATTAATTGATCTGTGCTTTTCCCCCACAAGTTAGAGATCCTTGCACTTGATGGTCAAGAGTAGAATTCATCTAGCAACCAAGAAAGGCACACACCTTTCTTGCAAAAATAACAAGTCACTTAATCTTAAAGACCACGTGGGTTCAGTGTCCCATGTGAGAGCATAGCAAATGGCTTACAGTATGGCTATTGGAAAGGACAGAGGGACTAGATATGGTAGTTACTTGACCCTGTGTTCTACGGAAACAGAAAAGAAGATTACCAAAACCCCAAAATAGACACCAACTCCCAGATTCCTCTTTAACTTCAAGTTTTAAGGAAGCTGTTTCAAATGACGAGAAAGCAAAGTTCTTTCTTTTGGAATAAAACTAGGTCAAGTCAGGTGGTGGTGGCATCGACGCACGCCTTTAATCCCAGCACTCGGGAGGCAAAGGCAGGCGTATCTCTGTGAGTCTGAGACCAGCCTGGTCTACAAAGCAAGTTCCAGGACTTGCTCCATAGCTACTGAGAAACCATGTCTCGAAAAAACAAAAGAAACTAGGTCAAAAAGCAATTCTAAGAGCGCAAAATTGTTTCTCCACCCATTTGTGAGAAAGGTCCTTCATCTTAATCTGCAAGACCTTTTTCCTAACAGGAACAATGTCCTGACAACCTAAGGCTAAGTAGTTTGTGAATTCCTCCTGGGGAACCAGGTGCTATCATTTCACGTAAAGAAGGGCCATTGCTAGAGAAGCTGTTAGCTACTTTCAGAAAGTTTCTAAGAGTCAGCCAGAATGAAAGACTGGAGATACTCTGGACCCAATGGGAAGAACTGTTAAAGGCCACTCAGAGAAAAGATACTTAAGAACTGAACCAGCATTCTCTAACTAAAAATAGGTACTTTTAAAGTCACTGAAGAGTCCAACATAGTATATTCAACTCCAGGCTTGATCTAACCTGTAACCACATTCTATACTTGAGTCCACATGCCTTACTACCAGGTCGTCATTCCTGTACTGCATCAAAGCTTTGCCTTGACTCTCATCCTCATACCACACAGCACATTACCAGTACGTTATGGGGACAGGAGGGAGAGTTGAGGCAGAGTTCATTTACTTCTTCATCAGTGCACTAGATCGAAATCTTGTACTTTTGATTTCAAGAGTTCACAAAAGCGGAAGACAAGAACTTCACAACAATCTCAAGTTTATAACTGATTTTGCCTAAAGACCATTGCATCGCTAGAGATGAAGAAATCAGGGCAAGGACAGAGCTACTGTAGTTTAAGCATAAGCCCACCTTTCATAGCAAGGTGTCAGACATACATTTGGGGTAGCCCAACACTGGGTATCATTCATGAAAGGTTTAATTAAAGATCAGTTTGCATCAGACAAGCAACTAAACGCAAGTAGCAAGTTAAATATGGTAAGGTTTCTATCAGCTTCCCTTCTTTATATCAAGGGATGCAGGGACACGAGATGTAAAGTCAAGAGGTAATAACTGAGCTGTGCCTTTATCCCCCACATGTTAGAGACCCCTGCACTTAATGTTCAAGAGTAGAGCCCATCAGCAGGCAGCCAAGAAAGGCACACACCTTTCTGGCAAAACTAGCAAGTCATTTAGTCTTATAGACCATGTGGATCCAATGTCCCAAGAGACATGTCCCATGGAACAATCTTACCTAGAAAGTTAGAGACTCCTTCAGGTCAGGTTATGCATTGTTTTCCCACAGCGCTCTTCCACCCACACCTGTTATAAAACTACAACTGGCTTCTTTCAAATAGTCCTTAACCTATTAGATCTCTCAATAGTCCCTGGACCGTACTATAAGAGAATATAAAATTAAATTTAAGGGCGACTCCCCACCCCTATCCATTTCTTTTCAATAAAAATAAGTCCTGTAGGAGCATTAACTCAAGGCTTTAAGGGTGGTTGGTCAAATATAGGAACAATCTCCCATATTTCTAAAGAGGCCTAAGTTTAAGGAGCAGTGAAAATATTCTCTTGAACTTGGGAATTCCAGGGATCTGGAGTCCCACTGAAATTCTGATAGGATATATTTCTTACATAAAGACCAAGGAGAGTTGCTGGGCGGTGGTGGTGCACGCCTTAATCCCATCAGGAAGCAGAGGCAGGAGGATCTCTGTGAGCTCCAGGCCAAACTGGTCTATAAGAACTAGTTCCAGGACACCTAAGGCTGTTACACAGATAAACCCTGTCTCGAAAAACAAACAAACAAAAAGACCAAGGAGAGTTTACCTTTTTTTTCTGTTCTTTGTAAAATGATCTGATGAAAGCCCACTAAGCAGGAAATTAAAAGAAAACGTCAAACTAATAGTTTCTTCTCTATCGCTTTAAAGAACATAATGGGAGGATGAGAACAAAGAGCTTAAAACAAAGGAAGATCGGTCCCTGGACATGGAAATGCACAGTATTTAATAACTGCCAATGAATCTTAAAAACAAACAAACAGAAAGCATGATCGGGGAAGTGAAGTAGTGTACATCTAATTGAGTTAAATTTCTAGGAAAACGTGAGGTGTCTGAACAACCAGCCAGATTTCAAACTCTGATGCTGAAACTTGTTTGATGGTAGCCGCCTCCTCCTGGGCCTTACCTCTCACGCTTCCCTAGCGTTCTTCCCTGATCCCACTACGACCGAGCTGCTGAAGAAAACGGCAAAAGACCTTGCCTTGAGCTCAAATATCATCCAGACAGCGCGACAGCGACAGCTCCAGGTCGAACTCCATTTCTGTCCTCTGCAGAAGCTAGGCACTATCTATCTTTTCAAGTCTTCACCCACCCCATCCCCGCCAAGGTTCCACCTCCCCCGACCCTCTCCTTTCAGACGCGCCACCCTTCTAGGACTTTCTCAGCCATCAGCGGCACACCCCAGCACCCTAGCTCCTCGTGCCCACCTCTCCCCTGGCTCAGGCTCCCCAGGTCCCTGCGGTCAGCCGAGTGTGCGGCCGGCCCAGGTCCGAGCCATCCTCGTGACGGTCCCTCCTCACTCACCCTCTGTCACCTCCAGCACCTTAATCTGTTCCTCTGCAGCCGCCCGCACCTCCTGCACGGGGGACAGGATCCCGGTGAGGGTATCCACCAACGCCTCCTTCAATCCCTGTGCCACTGGACCCGGCAGCCCAGAAGCCGTACCAGCTGCCGCCGCTGCCGCCATCTTTTCTCCCCTCAGCCCGCCAGCCCCGCGGCCGGGACCCGCCACCGAATGACGGCTCCCGCGTACGGCCAATCCGCGAAGCCGCGCCTGCGCATCTAAGCACGCGGGAGCGGGCGGGGGGCGGGGAGAGGTTGCTGTCTCCGGAGACAGCGCCTTCTGCGGCCGGAACGAACCGCGCTTCTGCCGGCAAGGAACGCTTTTGGGGATGTGTGTGCACACAGAATGCCATAACGGTTTGGAGTCTTGAAAGTCAGGCGCGCTTGGAATAAAGGCCGTGATACCTGATTCTAGGTTCAGATTGTTAGCACAGAGGTAGGATGGAAATGGATACAGAAGACTTTCAGGAAATAGCAGAAATAGCACCTATTTTAAACTAACACTCCTCCTCCCAACTCTAAACATGGATTCAGTTGGGTCTGTTCACTTTTTAGTTTTAGAGATCCAAAGATGCCTGGGAGGCGTGCGGAGAAACTGAAGTGAAATTGGCAGTCCCCAATTTTCTTAGTTTTTCAGTTTACATGAACCCAATCTCAAATGAGAAAGTGGCTGTCCAGGTGAGAGTACCTACATGTGAAGGAGCATTTCTCCCCACTGATTTTTTTTCCTGGTTTTTTGAGACAGGGTTTCTCTGTGTAGCTCCCACCCCCCAGATAGGGTTTCTCTGTGCAGTCCTGGCTGTCCTGGAACTCGCTCTGCAGACCAGGCTGGCCTGAAACTCCCTGAGATCTCCTGTCTCTGTCTCCCGAGTGCTGGGATTAAAAGGTGTGCGCTACCACCGCCCAGCTATAAACTGATCTTTAAAAATATTATCTATTTGGTGTTGTTTGGAGACAGGGTCACACATGGCACAGACGAGCCTCAAACTTTCTGTGTAGTTGGTACTGGCCTTGAACTCCCTGATCTCGGTCTTTCTGCTTCTACCTCCCTCAGTGCTATTACAGGTATGTGTCATCACCCATGGCCCAGACTTATCCTTTATGTTACTACAGAGAGTGAATACAAGTATGTAACATTATTTTAAAAAATAGTGTTTGTGCGTGTGCGTGTGTGCCATGCTCGAATACACGGGCATATACCATGGGACACCTGTAGATAGCAGAGGTGTCCTTTATGTAAGAGTGAACTCAGTTATTAGGTGTCAAGGCAGGTACTTTATCCACAGAGCCATCTCGCTAGCCCAGTGTGCTTCTGGAGACCCAGGGGGATTATGGAAGGGTAGGAGAACGAGAGTAGTTTAATATGGCTAACAAGGACAAGTTGCAGGAAATGGCCACAACATGGAGACACTACTCAATAGAGCAAGTGGAGGGGATTAGAGCAAGGGATTAAAAATGCAGGACCGAGTGGCAAGCGCCTAGTGGCTAAAGGGGTGGAATGGAGTACATTGTTGGAGCACAGAGCAGGTATTTCTGGGAAAATAAGTGCGTTTTGACTCTGCAATTCCATGGTAGAGGATAGTAAGATTTATTTTCTGTCTTACAGTGGCCAGAAGAACCCAAACTCCATCAGAACAGCTGTCCTTTGAGGTACGTTCATGTTTGTTCAACCCTCAAATTGGGTAGTGTCTAGAAGAGTAGTTCTCAACCTTCCTAATGCTCTGATCCTTCAATAGTTCCGCATGTTGTGGTGATGCCAACCACAAAACTATTTCATAACTGTAATTTTGTTAATGTTATGAACTATCTGATATGCAACCCCTAGGAAAGGGGCATCTGGCTCCATAGGGGTCACAACCCACAGGTTGAGAACCTCTGGTCTAGAGGGTGGTACATTTTCAAACTTTGCAGTTGATGGGCAACTCAAGAGACTTCCCGTCCTGCCAACTGGAAGCCTTGATTCCTGGCGAGGAAAACTGTCATAATTTGCTTCAGCTGTTAGCTTGACACAACCCTAGGGGTCACCAGAACTCAACTGAAGAATTCACTGAATCAGACTAGCCTGTGACCAAGTTTGTGAACCATTTCCTTAATGCTTATTGACATAGTTGGACTAACCCCACTGTGGTTAGTGCAGTCCCCAGGCACGTGGGCCTCGACTATTTAAGATCAAGGGAGCGATCCAGTAAGCAGCATTCCTAGGGAGGTCCTGCCTTGACTACTTTTGACATGGACTATAACCTGTAAGACGAAATACCCACCCCCACCCCCAAGTTGCTTTTGCTCATGGTGTTTATGTGCAACTGAAAGCACACTAGGGCAGAAACTGTCCACAGTGTACAAGGTGGGGTTCTCCCCCACCCACGACTCAAAAGACTCAGCTCAGCATTTGGGCTCAGATGTTTACAGGCAGGTGGGTTTTGCTTCTGAGTTAGGCAGAAGCAAGTTATGTGATATTCCAGATCAAGTAGTAAGGTAAACGGACACAGAAACCAGGCAGAGAGTGAGCTAGAAAACCAGTGGACAATACAGGAGATAACTTTATTGAAACGCAAATGGCAGAGAACAGATGAATTTTGCTAGATGGCGACATGCCTGACAGACAGAGGACCCAGGTAAGGGTGGCCCCTGTGGCGATGGAGGAAGGCCATTTCAGCTGGCCAAGGCATGGATTTAATTTTTCAACCAATTTTCTTGTTTAAAATGAATTACTGAGGGGACAGCCCAGCTCTCTTCATGATTGTTACCGCAACTATATACAACAATTTGCTTTCCAGATTCAGTTTTTGCCTTTTCTACATTAGGTATAAAAGGGGACAGACTGGAATAGGTGAGGGTCAAATGGAACAGAAATAAGACAAACACACAGACACACACAAATATCCTGGTTTGGGATTTTGTACTCAGTAAGTTTTAAAAAGTGACCATTCTTGCCCACCCGCCACCTGAGGAATGCCATGCATTTGAGAAACACAGCCTCTTACAGGAGTAGTGCTGTGTCAAACAGGATAGGGAGGGGGAGGAAAGGAAGCTAGCAAGACCTAGAATTCACTGTAATTTTGTTTTGTTAAAAGCAATAAACAAAAGAATGTTAGGAAGTGGGGGGGGGAGGGACACAGCAGTAGCAGAAACTGGCTGCAGTGTGGGAGTTGCTTCTTGTATTTTCCTTTTCAGAAACGGCAGGGAAGCAGGATGATGTGCCGGGGCTGGCTGGATGGCAAGGGGGTGACTTTAGTGCAATTGTTTTACACTTGCTCTCCTTGGGCTTTAGTCCTTCCTTCTTTAGTCCCTGAGCTCAGGAGACCTGCTACCACAAAAGTGCTCTCAGAGGGGATGAAAGCTGACACATTTGAAACAAAACTGCTTCTAAACAGCCTCAACTCTTCCATGGCCATTTCAGCTAGTTTATAGGTTTGGAAATATACAAAGCTCTTCCTGAAAAAACATTTTTTTTTTTTTAAAGAGAGGATTTCTTTTGTTCCCTTTGCTGAGTAGTTCTATATTTAGGTCCTGATATGGGAAGAGGCAAAGGTTGAATCTAAGGACTTAGATACTTTATTTTCACGGTGTAGAACTCTCTCCTGTGGGCTGAGCAGAGCCATGGGCCCTTCTGGCACACTGGTGCACTACAGCTGTTGGCTGTTGGAAGGAAGGGCTGGTGGAGCTCTCAGACTCAGCAGTACTCGTCACTATTTAAAGAAGGGAGAGGGATGTTACTGGGAGAACATTTTATCATGGAAATGTAAATTAGATTTTATTTTACTTTTCTTATACTATTATCAGAAAAAGAATCCATCGGAACGGCAACGTGGATGAGACTTCCGACATGATTCTTCCACTGGAGCCCCACAGTGTGCCAGGCAGAGATGTCAGGGGCCAGGGGTTTTCCGCTAGAGGCTGCAAAGATGCAGACCTTCCCTAACTTCTACCCCAAAGCACACATTTTTACTATTAGCTTCCAGAAGCCTAAGTAGGAGCAAAGTGACTTTGAAACGTTAGCATCTGAATTAGACTGTAGACACTTCTTATTGGGGTCTTCAAACATCAGCCATCTCACGGTGAGGACTCCCGTGATTTGGCTCCACCCTTACGACAAGGCTGGGCACAGCCACTCTAGAGCTGACTTGGTAGATCTGGGTTAAAGCCTGGGAATTCTAGTCCTTAAACACATTCCCGCATGCTGCTCTTGCTGGTCTGAAGACATCCTCCGAGCGCCACTGCTTTAAGGGACGAAAGGTTGACTCAAGGGACCAGGGATTCACATCACGTCAGAGAATGTGCCCTGTGACATAATCATTAAGGAGAATGGCCAAAACATCAAACTGGAATGAACTAGTATAAGTAGGTATAATTTTTAACTGTCTACCCCACCCCTGCCCCCGTGGTTTCCAAAGTTCAACTGCTTTCTTTCCTTCCAGACCGCTTTCCAGTTTACTCTGTCTCTCCTGCAAGAGCATGTGCTTCCGGAACGAGGGTGTGTACCAGGTGGCCCTGTTCTCCCTGAGCAGGTTAACCGAGGACTGCTGATTGGTAAGGCTGATCCAGGCATGGAGAGCAGTGTCTTTAGGCTTTGGCCATGTGAAACACGTTTACTGCTTATGGCCTGCATGTTGGGAACTCTCATGCATAGTTCTTACAGAGTGTGTTATAGCTGGGCCTAGTGATACAGGCCAGTTACTTGAGAGGCTAATGTGTATATGTATGTGTGTGTGTAGGGAGGAGTATCATCAAATTCAAAGCTCGCCTGAAATACTTAGTGAATTCAGGGCTATTATGGACAACTTTAGTGAGGGCTGGAGCTATAGCTCAGTGACAGAGTACTTGCTGAGAGTACTTGCTGAGTTTATGAGAGACCCTAGCTTCAGTACTCAATACTGGAAGGAAAAAAAAGGGTTACCAATAACTGTTGGTATATCCATCTTATCCATCTCTATTACCCACCCTGTTGCAACAGCCATTTTTCCTCTTCCCATGGAGTTGGCTCATGGAGTCCACTCACTAGCTTCAGTTTAGCTAATGCCGAGACTATGAAAAGAAAGGGTAAAGTGTGATAAGGAGCTGCAACTGACAATCTGAGTTACTTCAGATTGACTGGACCCTGTATTAGACTTGTGATTAGCACAACGTCCTCTCCCAAACCCTTTTGTCATTAAAAAAAAAAATCACTGAAGTCTTTTGTCTCCTGGCTTATAAGACTGAGCCTCATTTGATGAGGCAAGTGTGACCTGTGCACATGCTGGGTGCTGCGAATGGTTCCATCTGGGGTGATGATGGCAGGTGTTGTGGAAACTACCACTTCTTCCCCTACTTTCCTGGACTATGGCAGGAAATATCTTCAGAGTACAGGAAGATGAGTATGAGCTCATCTTCAGAGTACAGGAAGGGGGGAGTATCCCTCTGAATAGTGTGGCTCAGCTTTGGGACCTACAAGAAAGGAGATGGGTAGGTCAAGTCCACGTAAACTCTTGCAAACTAGAAAAGCCAGAAGACAAAAAAAAAAAAAAAAAAGAAAGAAAGAAAGAAAGAAAGAAAGAAAGAAAAAGAAAGGAAGGAAGAATAGGGGAGAAAGAAAATCATTACTTTGTCTTATGCCCATCAGTATGGACAGACTAGTCAGAAGGTTGGTAATTCAAAACCCAAATGTTTACCAACCAATAAAGGCTTTCTTGTAGGGTCGACCATGGTCTTTTATCTCATTCTCCTTCCCTGCCAGCCTCTATCTTCCAGGTGATTAGACTACACAGAAGACACTGGAGTAAAGATTTACAGAGACAGAAATAAGCACCAAAGAGTTACCAGAAAGCAGGTATAAAAAATAATGTTCCACAAAAGCCCCAGAAGACAGAACACAGAGACACACAGACATCAGGTCCCATAGCAGCCTCTAATACCTAGTACTTTATTTTAGTGCCTAGGCAGGGACTGAGAAACGAACACATTGAACACAACTTATTGGTCTTCATCCCAAAATTCGAGGGATTCTAGTTAGCCTCTCTCCCAGAGCTGAGACCCTCCAAAGGTTGATGTTCTTCACTAGCCAACTTTGGTGAGGGATGGAATTGGGGGTCAGAGGGGAAGGGAATAGCACAAATTCAGAACTAGAAAGGTTGGATCCTTCTGAAGGTGCCTGGAGATGCAGAGTTTAGCTGTGGGACCCAGTTTTTCCTTTCTGAGGAGAGCCAGCAGTCTCAACCAAGAAGCAAGTGTGTAGGCTGGAAAGAATGCTGTGGATTTGCTCTTTGCCGTGAATTCCTGGGCAGTGAGGGGGTGCTCAGGCTTTTTGCTTCTTAGAAGTCTGAATGAGCATCCCAAGGGGTTATTAGCACCATGAGGAGGCTCAACCTTCCGCAACTGCCACAGAACCACGGTCCCTTTTTGAGATGGTTGATGGTACTGTGAGGGGCCCAGATGTGCAACTGTAAACAGGGTCCCAGTCTTCAGAAGGAAAGTAGAGGCTTCAAGAGCACTTCACCAGATGGGAACACACTTCCTGGAGGACAGCTATCTGAGGCCTGAACTAAATGCAGCAGTCAAATGAGAGAAGGTGGTGGTAGGTCTCAGGAATAGAAACGAAGTTATAGTATGAGAGGCCTCCAGAGTCAACTTGCTGCAGACCCAAATAAAATTCACGATGATATCCATGGTTACCACAGAGACAATCCCTCTGCAGTCTGAGGCAGTTGAAACGGAAGAAGGCATTTCCTACTTTCCTTCTTCTTAAGTAGCCAGTAACATCCATTTCAGAAGGCACTGGCAGGGCAGCACCAGAGAAGAGAGTGAAGGGCTCAAGCATCAGGATGTCAGCGGAAGTCGGAGCCTTTCCATGGCACTGGAGCTGCGGATAGGGTCCAGAAGAGACCTGTGTCCAAAGGAGGCCTATCCAGTCTCCCCTTCCTTCCAAGTTGGAACACCCAGCTCTGGGGCCTTCTCATTCTGCACAGCAGAGACCTTAAGGCAATGATTTCAGCACCATCCTTTGACAAACCGCCTCTTCCCACTACAGAATTGCTTATTTTGCAGCTGAGTTGGTTGGGGATCTTCACAGCTCATGGAGTTAGCAGCAATAGCAATAATAGTCTCCCGAATAGAGGACCCTGTCATCCCTGGGGCTACCAGGTGAATATAGAAGCTTTTGCAGGGGAGGAAGGGGAAAAGGAACAAGCCAGACCATCTTGAAGACCTAAATGAAAATATACTGTTAAGAGTTGTGATTCCTCGGTTGGGTGGAACAATGGCCCAGATTAGTTTGCCTATAGAATCTTGGTATAGATCCTGGTAAGTCTTGTGCTCCTTAGGACTCTGAAGAGCAAATTCTTAGGTCCAGGCTCGTCATATCTATTCCTGAACTGCAGAGTGCTGACATTAGCCCGTAAGGCAGCTCAGCCTGGAATCTGGTTCCATCTGGTTTTCAGAAATGACAGAAGTAGTTTCCCATCCTAGACAAGCAGGATTCCATAGTTCTTTAGACTCCATCGTAATGGATTCCCGATTTTCTGCCTACCACATATTGGACATCTAATCAAAGGTTTCTTTTAACTCCTTGGGATTCACCTGTGTTTCTCAGATGGGGGGGTGTACTTAATGGAGATTAACATTCCCCTCTAGACTGCAAACTTAAGGACCAAATTTTGTCTTTTTTTTTAAACATGGTGACTGGTTTACATAAGTACTCATAAGTGCTTGTCAAATGAAGGAACGTGGGCTGCAGAAATACGAAGAGGGCAACTCCCCCAAGTGGTGGATCTCTTTGGAAGGCCAATACTGGCCACCGAGCACAACTCTTTGAACCTTCTATTCTGACCTGAAGCAGTTCACATGGTTGTTCAGTTTCTTATAAGTGACTATTCAACTGTAAAAACAAATAGTAAGGGCTAGCAAGGGAACTGTCATTCAGTCAGGCAAAGTGGCTACCATCCAATAGTGCAGTGAGTGGCCAAACAGGCCCTAAGACAGGTGGGTGTTTCCAGGATTTTGGTTTTCCTCCAGTCCACGATGAAGCTCAGAGTAGATCATGCCAGAGGACGGCAGTGGAGCTTCCGGGTGGAACATGTGCTTTCTCAAAAGGAAAGTCAAAGAAACTGGGTTCTTTTTCTCCTACCATTCTGAGCCAATGTTTCTTGTCGCATACAAGCCCCAAGGATGCCAGAGACAGTCGCATGGCAGGTGTATAACTTATACCAACAGTACGGAATTTAAATTCTCCAAAGAAAACCTACTTGGAAAGCAAAACTATTCCCTGGAAGGAAACCCAAGTATCTCATTGACATGTGAGAAAATTAGGGAAAGAGGGCAAATAAATAGGCAGATGGAAGGAAAAAAAATAGAAATAAAATTTAAAAATTAAAAATTAAAAAAGTTGGGTTTATTGACTTTCATGCATGTTCAGTTAGAGGGCAGAAAGGCAGCTGATAGACTCTCTGAAGGCTGTGATGTTACTTCTGTGGTTTGGTGACATCTTAGGTTGGAAGCCATCTTGTCAATGCCCCCTCTTGTCATCCAGAAGGCAAGATCTGGCAGCTCTCTTTCCATCTTGGCAACTGGGTCCCCTCTTTCCAGGTTCATCTCTTCTATCGCCTTTTTACCTCTTACAGGTTGATTTACACAATTTTTTTCTTTTTTTCTTTTTTTTTTTTTTTTCGTTAAACCACATGCTTCTTTTTCTGGGCTCTGGCCAGATCTCTGGGGAAAGGTTGTTGGCAGTGATGATAGAATTGGGAAGGGTTTGCAGGAAAATCTGTGGAGTTTCCTGCTTCCCTTAGAATTCCCCATCTGTGACTGTCTCAGAGGTGTTCATGAGAATGGGTAGGAACTGCTGCACAGCTTTTGCGATGTCTTCGAATCCCTCCCCAGAAAGCCCAGGAGTTTGTAGGGGGAACAAAAACTGAAGAAAAGACCC